ATGTTCAAGGTATAAGGCTGAAGAAGTGCGGTACATGTTGCTTTTGGCTTGCAAGTACGTATTCCTTCCCCCATCAGAGGCGAACAGGATATTGTTGATACAACGTCTCGATTCAGCGTGATCTCCCAACTTTTCAAGTGATTCTTCGTACTTTTTTTGATCCTGTTCCAATTTGAGGTAGTCATCATTGAATCGCTCCTCCAGCATTTGTCGAGTCTGCTCTCTTAACGTGCAGAAGTCCACGAATGCGCGTTTGAAGCCCATGATTTTGTCGATCCTGGGCTTTGTAGTATGTGCGAATGGCTGAGGCTGTCCAGTGATGGGTGGTCGCTGCGATGAAGGTCCGTTGACATCGATGGCAGATCCAGTGGACAGTCCATTAACTTCCCCCGTACTCATCAATCCGGATATGCTTGGAGACCTTTCGATCTTTACGTGTCTTTGGGACTGCCCTTTGTTGCGAGTAAACTCTGAGGAAGTTTTCGTTCGCTTGGAAGAGGCCGCTTCAGAGTGCACAGCTGCGGGCCTCTTTTCGTTTCGAGCCTCATCGAGGGCAAAATCGCGTTCTGCGGCTTCGAGGTTCGATCGACGAAGATCCCTCTCGTTGGAATCTGTTTGAATGTTAGTATCACAAGTGAGAGCGACGCGAGTGGAATGACCATATGTACATTCACTTTGCTCCACATCAGCTTCAGCATGATAGTTCGCACGATTGAAATTGTTCGGCCCATCTGCAGTTCCAAGGCCACGATCATTCATAGCAATACGTTCGACGTTGCTATCTGCAGCCTTCTTTGTAGCATTCGCAAAAACCAAGTCAGCGACGGCGAGTCGGTCACTACGGCTGTTGAGCTTGTATCCGTCTTGAATCATGCCATCGAGATCATAGTCGGGTATCTTTGTGAGCATGTTGGTGCGTAAGGAAGGAGCTACACCGTCTGCGTAGAGCGTGAGAAGGAACTCCACCTTCCAATCCGTTGAAGACGACATCGCAAGTTGGCGGTCTGTTGGACTCGATCTGGTAGATGAGCTAAGTAAGAGCTCGAGGTTTTTGTTGGGGGATCACTAGTACAGAATCTCATGCAGCAAATAGGAAAGAGCAAACGATGGTAAACAGACGATACAAACGGAAGGAGCGAGACTGCCTAGCATGGAAAGAACCACCTCGAGCACTTTCAGCCCTACCGCCAACGAATCAGTTGCTTAGTCAAGCCATGTACAAGCACCTGCGCTAAACATAGGGCCTTGCACTGCCACAAAACACTCCATCAAACTTCCCATGCACTCAGTTGCTCATACTACAGGTCTCCACTCACCCGTCTCTTCATTGACTAGACCATCACAACAATTCCAATCACATGCCCTATCTTCAACATCACTCTAGCCAACTGGAGACTTTGATGCCACAGTTATAGCATATGTGAACTGAGGTTGAGATGGACAAGCTTGTGAAAGTAATGGGATGTTCTAGGGAACAAAGTAAGTAAGTGAACAGGTGGAGATGAGTTGAGGTATATACACGCATCGTGGATTAGTGATTAATGTGTCCTTATACACGCCTTCACGAGTCATAAAAACAGGCGTTATTCAATTAGGTGTGCAGTGACAGAAATCATCGTACTATGAGTACAGTGAGCGCGTGGATGAAAACGATGAAGTCTGATACCAGCTGATGGGCAGGCGAAGCTGAGCTGAGATCATGTAGAAATGTCACTGCCCATCACACAACAGTAGAGCGTAGATCGGTTTTGAATATTTATCTCTTCTATTTGTTAACCCTCCGGGGTTATAATCTATATTCTATACTTGACTGTAGAGCAAACCAATAGCAAATCAGCCAGCGGATGATCAGGTATCAGGCCGCGAACTGGCCCAAGGCCCCACCGCGAAAGAAAAAAGTGCTTAAAGAACGAAATGTATCTATGGGGGTATCAAGTATGAAATAGTACAACAAACTCGCAAAAGCAGATCGGTAAGAGGAAAGTGATAGAGAAAGATTAACAACATCCTCAATCGTACCATGCCATACCATATGTTATCCAACCCGTGAACATCGAGGCGGCTAGAAGAAAATAAACAAGCAGAAAAAATTAGCATGTGTAAAAGTAAAGAACTGAACACGAAGAGTCTCGCATACCCAAGAAATCGAAATCCCAACGCTGCCGCCACGGCTCAGATGCATCCAAGACGCTTCTACAATCTACCTAGACGCCCTAATCTTCTTGACTGCATGCTCAGGCTCAGAATCAGACTCAGGTCCAATTTCCCCATCGACCTCGCCAGCAGCAATACTAGCATTGTGTGTCCGCTTCCCCAGGCTAGACGCCGGCGCTGCAGCAGCGTCACCGCCAGAGGTCTGGCTAAGCGCAGGAATCTGATTATTAGAAGCCTGTGCCATGGCACTGGAAGTAATGCGGGTGGAGCGACGAACGGAGGGACCAACGGGCTTTTTGATGATGCGTGGGCTGGCCGGCGTGATGGTGTGAGAGGGCGATTCGGCCTGGCTAGGTAGTAGTGACTGGCTGTGGGTCTGGGAGCCGTAGGTTGAGTCGATGGAGGGGGTAGGGCTTGGAGGTTTCAGTGTGGAGTGGAGGTCCTGAGCGGTGGCATCGGTGGTGAAGTTTTGTGACACTTGTGTATCGGTGCTGGAGGTGATAATTTTGGCGGTAGTGGTCGTGACGATCTCAATAGAGTCTTTGATAGTGCCGTCCACGTCATGCCTAGTATTTTTTTGTGTGCCGATAGAGGCACCTGACTTGCCAGCTACGGACCCAATGTGAGTCAGCGTCTCATTATTCATATTGGACATGTATTCAGGCACATCCTTCGAAGTGTCGGAAGGCGTAGACGTTGTCTTGGCATGAATCTCTTCCCACTCTTGGTCAGTGTATGCGGACTCCGTTTGCGACAGGCGAGAAGGGAATTTGGGCTTCGGGGAAGGAGCTGGAGTGTAGGCGCGACGTTTTGTATGAGACTTTGATTGGACAATGGGGGAGTTGTTAGAAGTGGCATGCTTCTTTCCTCCAGAGGTAGCCGGCTGTTCGACCTTGGAAGCTGTCTCGGGGTCTGTCTTCAGAGCTGTGTTGCTGTCTGATGCCGAAGTGACCTGTTCAGTATCCTTCCCGAGAGCCTTGGAAGCGTTATGGGTAGTCTGGCGATTAAGAGTCTCGGCCGCCTGGCGCTTAGCTACTTCACGTTCAGCAGCTTCACAAGCCTTGGCCGCCTGACGAGCTTGACGATTCAACTGCAAATTACGAGCCTCGGCAGCATCAAAATTGATCTTAGCTTGCTCAGCAGCCTTGACCGCTCCCACCACGTCAGAATCGACTCGAGCTCGATCAGCAGCTTCCCTCGCAGCCCGTCGCCGGTCAGATCGCCTAAGCGTTGAGTCATATGTGGATTGATCAACCTGAGGAAGGAGCTCTTTGAAGAGGGGTTCCTCGTTGGAAAAAGAGAAGGATTGATTCACACTTTGTGGCGGACCGCGATGGAAGCTCTCCGCTCCGCCCGGGATGCTGCCGTATAGAATCTGGCGGCGCGACGGGCGTCCACGACTGGATGTTTCTGGAGTATCTGCCGTTGGTTTGGGGGGTTCTGCCGAGGGACCGTACGGAGGTGAAGAAACGACAATCAATTCGGTCAAGATGACGCGAATCATGTTGGATATCGATGCGCTTAAGGGCCGGTTCAGCTTGGTCGCGCCATTTTCAATCTCCATGAGGAGCTCATCGGGTGTACGAAGAGTAGTGTAGGCTGCGATAATAAGCTTAGGACCCTTTTCTGAACTGTGGGCTAGGATGGACTTACCCTTAGCAGGCACACGTGTCGCGCGGCCGGGCACTGAAGACATTGCAGGCATCTATTGCAGCAACTCGCAATGCTGCGAAAGATTAGCCGCGCACTCATAATTTGGACAAGGAAATAAACTCATACCTCTTGAAGAGACTATAAAATCGTTCAGACTTAGGTGATAGTAGGCTCTTTCACCAAAGCAAGAAGACAAGTCGTTAATCGTATCTGTGTAGACTGGCAAGATCGTACTCGTGCAAACTGGCAAAAGTATCGAAGCGGGCAAGGTCGAGGAGGCGCGGGGGGTGAGTGTCATATAAGGCTGCTGAAGAGGCGGAGTCACAATGCGGGAGCGAATAGTCATCGCCGACGCTTAGCCCGTTTGCATACTGCATATACCGTGGAGGTGAAAGAGAAGTGATGCCCGGCGGATTAATGCCAGCGTATGTAAACGAAACTCATTTCACACAACGGCGAGGTGACAAGCAATGATTTTAATGGTGGTCCTGCGACTCTCAAGATCCTGAGCTTTGGGCTGTAATTCTTTAGCTGTTTGGCTGAACCTGGTCACGTGCTCTTGCCTTTCACTGTGATGGCATTTCTTGGCGGGAGTGCGCTAGGCAGACGTCCTGCATGCGACACAGCCATCTGTGTCTACCCTCCACTCCCATTACAAATACTCTAAGATATCACTTCTAAATCGACACAACTACTCTCCTTGAATATGCTCGCTTCAAATAAGCCACCAAACGCTAGGTTGTGGTAGGTGATGGTTGACTTATGAGAGGTTGAACACTGGCATATTCAATCAAAGCCTTGGCTATCATAGCTACCTGTACTTACCCCCACCGCAGGAGCTCCAAGGCAGAAATTCAGCTTTCGGAGAATTAGAGACCTTTATGCGCGCTTGTAAATACGCCATCACGCAGCATTTTCTGATATGTAGAAGTTGAGTCATTGGGAGTTGAAACTTTGGCATTCTCGGATTTTTGATTTCCGATGTGATTGAGTTTTGTCTGTTCATCCCCAAGAATCCTCCATAGTCTACCAGTCTTCTATCATGATACGCTGACTAGTTTACATTCCCCTGCTGAGATAACATTGGGAAAATCCTTTTTCGATTTGCAGCACTTGTCCCATGGTGTGATCTATTGGAGCCGATTAAACTCTGCGTCTTCTTTGGTACCCTGATACACCCTGCAGTAAGCAGAAGTAGGATTTGTGCTTTGCCATTGTGCAGCCCCGTTTCTCGGGCAGCACTGATATCCGTGGGACATGACCTCAGTGCATCCACAATATACAGCCCATTGACCCTATGACAAGTTGTAAGTCAGAACATTGGCCAGTCAATCAAGAACAAAACGAGCAAGACCCCCAAACATACATACACTAGACACACCATTAGCCACGAGAAGAAGGTAGGCAGGAATGGTAAGCCTCACAGTGAGCTCTGGCACAAATGGATTCTGAGAGAAGGGTAAAGGATAGGTATGACAGTGTTTGAGCAGGATAATGTCGAAAGCGCAATCGAAATTCAGACGTAGATAAGCGTGAAAAGATGGCACAAACTCGAGATTCAGCGAGGGCAAAGACAGATTCATTTAAATCCACAGCCGCAGCCTAGAAGCAGACCATGGATTCTGTTGTAAGCCCTGTCCAAGAACCTTCGGCCCGTATCGAGTTTACTCGCGTCGTATAAACAACCAAACGGGTACGACTGCTTACCCATCGGCCTTGGTGTTAACCCACTCTATAAAATAGAGCCCATAGAGGGCGTTTTGATGACTCTGGAGACTGGAGCGTTGTTTGCTGGAGGTTGGGCGGCTGGGGGGAAGCATGATAGAGGAAGAGAGAAGGAGCAGCGAGAAGGAGTGATAGATCGCTATGCTAGTAAGAATGATATAAATGATCTATTTATACCTGTTTATCAATTATGCAAATTCAAAGCATGGATACACTAGCGTATTGCAACAGCACAAATTACCATAGTAGCTAACAAAGCTCCCATGCAACGGCCAAGACAGTACAACAGCCACTGAAACACTCTAATGCTTGTAAGATGGAGATCTCTGTGGGCATTACAAAAGTGTAGAGTAGACGTAGGTAAGAATGAAGACTTGTTTTCCTGCAAGAAGTATTTCACGAGTCTTTACTCATTGGTACTGAAATTTCATGTACGAAATTGTTTTGGAAGAAAGGGAATAGGCCTTTTGTACTAGATCTATAATATACTGTATCTACACCAACATCAAATCAATATCCTCGTATAGTATCACATCATCACACCCCCCGCCCATTTCAATCTCACATCGCGCCAGATCCCAACAATAACCAAGCCTATACAAACCCCCCCTCCCAACCCCCCCAACCCATATAACCCTGCATCGTCTTAGTCATTAAAGTCATCCCAGGCCAACTGTTAGTTTACACCCCTGGATATAGGAATTACTAATTGTCCTCGCCACAATAGACTAATTGTCGTCGACCCCTCGCCCTTCCCATCTAGGTATAGACAAAGTATTAGTGGCTTAGTAGTAGATCTTGTGCTAGTGAAAAGTACTTCTTCTACCGGCTCATGGGATATTCTATATTCCTTATTCTATTGCCCTAACCCTAACATACTCTACCCCTACTACACCCTTACTCTAGACACACCATAATCCTAGACCTCTACGCTTACTTGTGTATTTTTAGCTTAAAATATAGTATCTTTATGCTTAAAATATATAGCGCTGAGTACTAATTTGCTAGGCGGATAACGTACCTAGCACTATCCCTAACTTTGTACAATCAGTAACTTCGGTGTAGAGTCGATAAGAATGAAGCCCTGTTTTCCTGCAAGGAGGACGGTATTTCATGAGACTTTACTTAAATCACCCTCTCAACACTCTCAACCCATATAACCCTGCACTGGCTTAGCCATCAAGTCCAAGCCAAGCCAACTGTTAATTTGCACACCTGGATATAGCCAAGTGCGCGAGGGGATCGGTCAGCCGAGTACAGACTACCAAATTACCGCCGTGTCTATCCCAGCCCCCTATTCGACCTCTCCCCACATATCCAGTATTGCCCAGGGAAAATTCTCACCGCTCAAGATTTATTTTCTCGATTTACATCTTGGTCTGTAGATGGAGTGTAATTTGTGTATGTATATGTGTATGCAAGTTCAAGTCCAAATCCAAATCCAAAGCCAAGTCGGTTTAATATTCCATGATATCTTTAAGGTTGGTGCTAATTAGTAGCTCACGAAACTCTATTTATTCAGCACGACATGTCTCTCATTACACACATTTCCTTCTGTGGCCGCACGACGAGTTCGGACACTCTCCTTCCCGCTATCAGCATGGGACAGACCGGCCAAAAGTCGCACAGGGCATGAAGAACAAAACGTTGCTTGGGATATTGTCGCTGTCGCATCGGCAATTCTATCACCTTTGCCAGCACCACTCACCCTCAAACATGTAAAAATACTTACATGCTCAGACACGGACACAGACCCAGCCGTGAACAAATCTAACACGCCGTGCAGACACCGCATATCTGGCACATCTACAACTTCTGCTTCTCCAAGCCCTTCCATCCCCACTCCTGCGCAATCAGCTCCGCCGCCCGCTCACCAATGCCCAAAACTGTCAGCATTGGGTTGATGGTCGGCATCTCAGGGAATACACCCGCATCCGCAATCCGGACGCCTTTGAGATCGCGGACCTTGAGCTCGGGATCAACGACCGCATACTCGTCCTTGGTCACATCACCCATCTTGGTGGTACCAGCGGGGTGATAGACGGTATGCGCAACGCGTCGGCCATATTCGCTGAGTTCCTCGTCGGTGGTGATGCTGGGGCCGGGGGCGACCTCGCGCTTGATCCACGAGGAAAAGGGAGCCTGCTTTGCGATTTCTCGAGCGGCCTTGAGACCGGCGACGATGGTGGCGGCGTCGTAGCCCTCGGGGTCGGTAAAGTAGCGGAAGTCGAGCGCGGGTTTGACATTGGGGTCGGACGAGGTGAGGAAAATACGACCACGGGAGCGGGGGCGAGGGATGTTGGGGGTCATGCAGAAGGCGTCAATAGGGGAGTCGTAGCCCATGCTGTTTTGGATGTTAGTTGGAATGTCACGTGAGTCTGATAGGAGAGGCTGGCTTACCGAGCGGTGTTGAGGCAGAAGGGAATTTGGTAGCAGTGCATCATAATGTCTGCAATGTCACCATCATCTCCGGCCGCGTTCGGCACCTCGCGGCGAAGGAAGATTCCAGCATCAGAATCCATGGTGGTCTGATTCGCAGGAACAGGCTTATTCAACTCCCAGAGAATGATACTTTCTGGGTGGTCGAGCAAGTTCTCGCCCACACCAGGGAGGTCCTTGACAACGGGGATACCGAGGTCAGAGAGCTGCTGCTTGGGTCCGAGACCGGAGAGCATCATGAGACGTGGGGTGTCGACTGCGCCAGCGCAGAGGATGGTTTCGCATCTGGGATTTAGCGTACGCTTCTCGCCATCTTGCAATGTGAGGTCGATGCCGGTGACTTTGTTTCCAGAGACGTTGACCTTGCTGACCCAGGCATTGGTAAGGACAGTCAGGTTGTCACGCTTCTCCTCCCCGCGGAGGATGGGGTGAATGTATGCAACACTGGCGCTAGACCGTCGGCCGTCGTCAGGGTTGTATGACACGGAGAAGAAGCCGACTGAAGGCTTGAGGGCACCCTTTTCCTTGATCTCCTTGTTGAAGTCGTCAACCTTGGGAATCTTCATGGCAGTCGAGCATGAGTCGACCCAGTCTAGGCAGAGCTGGTTGCGGTGCTTTGCATGCACAGGCTGAACGGTGTTGCGGAGATTGTCCAAGACGCGCATAAAAGTCTTGAAGCTCCAGCCCTTGCAGCCTTGCGCCTCCCATCTCTTGCAATCGTACTCGAATGGCCTAAAGGAGATAAGGGTGTTGTGTGATGAGCAGCCTCCCAGGACCTTTGCGCGCGAGTGGCGGATATGCGAGTTGCCATTGGGCTGTTCGGTGGTGCCGTAGTCGTAGTCGAGCTCTCCTCCCAGCAGGTTCAACCAGTCCTTGAGTAGCAAGACGCGATCATCCATGAAATCGCTAGGACCAGCCTCAATCAAGAGGACGGTCTTGTTGGGTAGGTACTCGGTGAGACGCGAGGCAATCACACAGCCAGCGGTGCCTCCGCCAACAATGACGAAGTCGTACGAGGCATCCTTGGGGATGGTGGTAGTAGTGGGTGCCATGGTGTGTGTGTGTATGTGTGTGTAAAGTCGATGGATCCCGCCCTTGGCAAGTAGAAAGATTGGCGCTGGGTATATATATAATAGGCGTACGCAAGACTGGCCACTACTCGGAAATTTTTGTTGAAGGGGTGCAAACCAAGGCTACCTAGGCTACGACTCGTGCTGCTGTCAGGCTGTAACGAGCAACGTACGATTGCTCCGGCAATGGTTGAGAATGAGCGGACGGGGTTTCCTATGTACCTGCAAGACTTGTGGTTTGCCTTCCCAGATAAGATCGAGCAAGACGGGCCTTTTTTTTTCTTCACCGGCTGGATCGGTGGGGGGGGGGGGGACGCACGTGCACGCGAATGAGCGCGGATGCGGCCTGTCAGCCATGTCGTTCAGCGTAGGTGCCGGTAAGTATGCACTCTGTATGTAGCGGTGATCATGGCAGACAACTGCCTACCGACTGAAACAAGACATTACCTGAAGCCTCATCTTCCCCATTGATACGGGAATACCACGAGTTTGTATAGAGAACTGGAGTGTAGATGAGACTGGCCTGATCTTCCCCACCAAAAAACGTCGCGCTTTGAAAATTGTTCAAGCGGTGATGTCATCATGGTGCCATGGCGCTAACAGACGACCCCGCTCTTGTGCAGACTCCGACGGCAGGGGCCCCTTGCTCGTCTCAGCCGCACCTTCCCCCCACTGACGAGCGTGCTTTCCCCAATCCATGAGCGCACTTGCCTCCATCGACGGGCGGTGAGTCGGCTGAGGTCGGGGAACATTTCCTGCCAGCCCCGAGCGCGCCATTCTCTCTCCCAAGACGGCCAACTGCTGATCTCCGGGTGAGAAAAAGTCCAGTCAAAAGTCAAGATTGCGCCCGGATACTGGGTAGGCTATCACACCAGTCCAGGCTTGTTGGAAAAAAAGTGCATAAGCCCCATCTCGGTCGGGACAAAGGTCCTGGTAACTAGTGAATCAGGCCCTGGAATAGTGTAGTACTTGGGGTTGCAACAACTCCATACTACTATGCAACAACACATAGCTATATAACCCCCCGTACGTGTCTTCGGCGCCATTCCCAAAGCGCCTTGCACGTTTTAGGTATGCGCTCCATGCATTGGATCTTTCACTTGATCTACTACCTTGGCTAACAACATACACTGACTTCTCAAAGACCAACTCACTTCCCTTTCCACTTGTGTTGTGCCTGTGTCGCTCATACATTGCGACCCCAATTGTGACACCCCACCACGCCACACACCCACGCCCTATCGCTATCGTCGCCATGTCTCTGCCATACACACCCCGCTTCGCCTTTTACGACGGCAAGATCCAACGCGAATCTTCCACCTCCTCCTTCCAGACCATTGATCCCTCCACCGCAAAGCCCATTGCCAACATCCACACCACCTCTCAAAGCGCCATAGACGCTGCCATCTCGAGCGCCCAAAACGCCTTTCCGGCATGGTCGGCAACTTCACCCATGGAGCGCGCACGCATCCTCCAGAAAGCTGCCTCCATCCTGCGAGAACGGAATGACGAGCTAGCCCGCATTGAGACCAGCGATACCGGCAAGCCCTTCTCAGAGACATCCACCGTCGACGTCGTCACAGGCGCCGATGTGCTCGAATACTTTGCAAACTTGGTCGGAGGAGGAGGCATGAATGGCGAGACGACACAACTGCGACCAGATGCATGGGTATACACGACAAAGAACTCGCTGGGTGTCTGTGCAGGCATTGGCGCATGGAACTACCCCATTCAGATTGCGCTATGGAAGTCAGCACCATGTCTGGCAGCAGGCAATTGCATGGTCTACAAGCCTTCTGAATTCACACCACTGCATTCCACTGTCCTCGCCGAGATCTATGCCGAGGCCGGTGTGCCTGCAGGCGTCTTCAATGTCGTCCAAGGTGGCGGCGAGGTGGGCGCATACCTGACCAAGCACCCAGCCATCGCAAAAGTCAGTTTTACCGGCCAGGTGTCTACGGGTCAAAAGGTCGCCGGCAGCGCTGCGGGAGGGATGAAGTACGTGACCATGGAACTAGGTGGAAAATCCGCCTGTGTCATCCTCCCAGACGCAGACCTCGATCAAGCCGTCGACGGCGCCATGATGGCCAACTTCTTCTCCACCGGCCAAGTCTGCACCAACGGCACACGAGTTTTCATCCCCGAAGCCATGAAGGCCGAGTTCGAGAAGCGACTCGTCGAAAAGATGCAATTCATTCGCCCAGGCGATCTCGCCGACCCAAAGACCAACTTTGGCCCCCTCGTCTCCGCACCACACTTCGCCAAAGTCAAGCAATACATCAGCCATGGGATCCACACCGACAAGGCCAAACTGCTCTACGGCGGCCCCGAAACCCCCTCCTGGCTCGCCTCCTTTACCAACAAAGCCTACCGAAACGGCTACTGGGTCCAACCCACCATCTTCACGGACTGCACCGACAAGATGAAGATTGTCCAAGAGGAAATCTTCGGCCCTGTCATGTCCATCCTCACCTACAAGACCATTGACGAAGTCGTCAAACGCGCCAACAACACCAATGTCGGCCTTGCAGCCGGAGTCTTCACCAACAACCTCAATCTCGCGCACAAGGTCATAGCGCAGCTCGAGGCCGGTATCACGTGGGTGAATACGTGGGGCGAGAGCCCTGCGGAGATGAGCGTGGGTGGATGGAAGCAGAGCGGGGTTGGCGTCGAGAATGGGAAGAAGGGACTCGAGGCGTGGGTGAGGAATAAGAGTACGTTGGTTGAAATGGGGGGTGTGGTTCCCACTGTGTTTGCGAAGTTGTAAGGAACTGGGGAGAGTGTAGATGAATGTATATATTGATATGAGCGGCATGTCTGTTTCGTTTTTTCGTTGTTTCTTCTGCCCATCGATAGATGTGGTGATACAAAATGATACATGATACCTTGAAATCACTCTGCAAAAACATTGCCTGACTTCCCATCAACCAAACCCGCCCACTTCTAATCCTACAAGACCCCCCCCCACTCCACCAAGGCTCCTCCACATCCACCACCCCATCTCACTCCACATCCTTACTCCCCGTCCGCCGATCATTCCCATATCTCCGCCAACACTGCCTGAAAATCTCCATCTGGATAACATTAGCCATTCATCCACTCCATTCACACTGCCATTCTGAGGAAGAAAGTAGCACTGCAACCACCGCATGTCCACTTTCTTCCTTCCCGCCCACACACCCAACGTACCTCGGCCTTGCAAGCACGCCAATCTTTCTTCTCGTAGTAACAATCCGTGAGCTTGGCGTTTTCATCGGCGCAGCCTGTGCTGAAAATGCGTTTGTCCCTGGGTCCAGCACAAGGGCATGTGTTAGTTGGGCGGGGGGTTTGGGGTTGGATGTTGGTATGCAGGTGGAAGGGATGGTGTAGGGTGAGGCTGGAATAAGAGATCCATAGGTCATACCACTCGTCCGGCTCATCATCGATTACCAATTGCGCTGCCGCTACAGCGCTGGTCTTGTCGTCTTTTGCCATGTTGTTTCTTCTGCTTTTTTTTTCTGCAGTAAAGAGGAGATTTGGTAGCGAGGGACGCTAGGGTTTGCCTATGTGCTTGAATGTCTTGGTTGGGGAAAGATGGGAAATTCAAATGGGCGTGGTTGCGGTTTGGTGACTGCTGAGAGGTACCGGTACCCGTATTGCGCTGGTAAACACCTAAGCTTCCTTCGTCCGTCCGACTTGCGGTGAATTGGAGGCCGGAGAAACGCGCGGGCCGTGGGGCGCTGGGGGTGGGGGGGAGGGGGTGTGAACGTCCAACGTCAAGCATAGATTACACGCTTCGCACGCAAGAGGAAGCGGCCACCAGCGAGGGATGGCGAGTAAGCGGATGAATGTGTTGGTGTATTCTGGTATTTCTTCATTCTTTCTTCCTTTCGTTCCTTCCCCATCCTTGAATTTTTTATTGAAATTCCCAGTCGGTGTTTTGCGACTGACACGGTAAAGGAGCGGGGAGTACATCTGAATCTGTGAGACATTGCCTCTTCACGCTACGACGCCTACTCTCGCCCTTCTATGCCGTGATCCCCGTGAGCAGCGAGGTTATCATCAAGGAGCCCTGGTCCAGCACCTGCGCCCTCCTCGTGCTTCCCGGCGGTGCGGATCTGGGCTATGTGCGCACGCTCAACGGTGAGGGGAATCGGCGCATTTCCCGCTATGTCAATGGCGGGGGATCCTTCCTAGGTTTCTGCGCGGGGGGTTACTATGGCAGTGCGAGATGTGAGTTTGAAGTCGATGATCCCAAAATGGCCGTCGTGGGCGATCGTGAGCTGGCGTTTTTTCCGGGGGTTTGCAGGGGTCTGGCATTTGAGGGATTCAAGTATGCGAGTGAGGCTGGTGCGAGGGCTGCGGATGTGAAGATTCATAAGGAGAGGTTTGGGGATGTGGAAGATGGTATGGCCGAATCGTTCAAGAGCTATTATAATGGTGGGGGTGTGTTCGTGGATGCGAAGAAGCTGGAGGAGCGGGGCGTGCAGATTCTGGCGAGTTATACAGAGGATTTGCATGTTGAAGCTGGAGAAGGTGCAGCGGCAGTCGTGTATCGCAAGGTTGGTGAAGGGCATGTTGTGCTCACTGGACCGCATCCAGAGTAAGTTGCCATTATCATTAATTCAGTGTTGATATTAATTCTCCGCAGATTCGCCCCGCAGAACCTCAACAGAATACCCACTCTGCCTGACTACGATCTTGTCATTGACCTTGTCACTTCCACAGACGCCACCCGACAAGCGTTTCTGCGCTTGGTTCTCCAGAAGCTCGGTCTGCAGATTAATGAACAGGAGCAAGCGGTACCGTCTCTCTCCCGTCTACATCTCACGTCTCATCATGTGACAGACGTCGCCAACCTCGTCGCAACATGGTCCGAAATCATTACTGTAATCGACGACGACCAGTACATCAAGGGTCAAAACGACGTATTTCGAATAGAAAAAGAGGATAGCGCGTGGAGCGTCAAGGACCTGAAAAGAGCCGTGAGCGCTGTGTCTCAGAAGCTGCCGGCCCTGACGAACCTGACAGGCCAAGTCGACGGACAGCAAGTCACGGCATCTGCAGAAGAGAACGCAAAGCCAAATACGATAGAAGAGGAGATACAAGACTGTATCAACTACACCGCCAACACAACACCAGACCAGATATTAGACTACGACAAAGTCGTCAAAACCATCATCCCTCACACCTCGGGCATCCCCACTATGAAAGAAACCCCCTTCCATCACGAAGCTTACTACGCCAACCTTCACCACTACCACACCAAACTCCGTAACCCAAACCCCTCCTTCGGCACCACCCTCCTCTACGGCGAAACCGTCACCTCCACCAACACGCTCCTCGAAAAGAACCCCTCCCTTCTCCGCACTCTCCCGACCGGCACCACCCTAACCGCAACCACGCAAATCGCCGGCCGCGGCCGCGGCACCAACATCTGGATCTCCCCGCCCGGCGGCCTCATGTTCTCCACCGTACTCCACCACTCCTTTTCCCAATCCCAAACCGCCCCCGTCATCTTCATCCAATACCTCGCCGCCCTCGCCATCATCCGCGGCATCCACACGTACGCCCCAGCCTACGCCTCCCTCGCCGTCAAACTCAAATGGCCAAACGACATCTACGCCCGCCTCCCTGGCTCCGCCAACAACCCGCTCGTCAAAATCGGCGGCATCCTCGTCAACAGCTCCTACGCCGGTTCCGCCTACGACATCGTCTGCGGCATCGGCCTCAATCTCTCAAACGCACTACCCACCGCCTCCCTTGACCAACTTGCTGCCTCACACACCCCGCCCTTGAAACCCTTGACCCACGAGAAACTCCTCGCTAGCATCCTGGCTAATTTCGAGGCCCTGTACACAGAGTTCCTGCTCGTGGGGTTCAGCAGGGCGCTCGAGGAGGAGTATTACAAGGCTTGGTTGCATACCGATCAGGTGGTTACGCTGGAGAGTGAGGGCGGGGTCCGGGCGCGGATCAAGGGGATTACGAGGGATTGGGGGTTGTTGCTGGCGGAGGAGTTGGGGTGGGAGGATCGCGGGACGGGCAGGGTGGTGCAGTTGCAGAGTGATAGTAATAGTTTTGATTTCTTTAGGGGGTTGGTTAAGCGCAAGGTTTGAGGGGTGTGCGTGTGTGTGGTATTTTTGTATGAGGGAAAAGTTTGTGGAGTTGGTCGGCCCTGGCTTTTGGTTGAGTGATTACGAATACGCCGGGATGATTTGTTCAGGGTTGTGTTCTACACATGTACTTTCATGTATACCATTATCGAGATGAACTTATAATCGTATGCCATCCCCAAGCCCCCAACCACCTCACACCCCTCTAAACCCCACCCCCAACCGCGCCCTTCTTGCGATCAAAATCCACTATCTTCCTCCGCCGATGATTCTGCGCCATCTTCCACCTAACATAGAGCAAGACCGCATCTTTAAGTCCAACAAACAAACAACCACCCACAATACTTCTCCCCCAGCGCGTCTGCAAAAAGCCCGTCGCTTTGCCCTGCCGTCCACTCGTATTCACCCACCCACCCAGCCATGATATCGCCGGTGTTCCCGCGGGCGGCGTGACCCATGATGACGGAAGCGTGTGCTTGAGTAATTCGCCCATGGCAGCGGCGATGGTAGGGAAGATGAGCGCGCCGAGAATGGTGTCGGCGATGGAGGAAGTAGAGTAAGCGCGATTAAGAGCGCGGGCGCGTTGGTGGCGTGGGGCAGCTGGTTGGAGGGGGACGTTGGGAGCTGGTGCAGCGGCATCTTGTTGTTCCTGTTGTGCTTGGTTGGCGTCAATGAGGTCTGGAATGGCGTTGTCATCTTGGGGTGGTGCGTTGATGGGGTGGGCTTGTGCTTGTGCGTCGCCACCGTTATTCCAGTCGGCAAAGATGTCAAAGTCGACTTCTATCTCGACTTCATTTATGATCTCGCCGTCGTGAACGTGTTCGTGAACGTGATCGTGGTCATGGTCATGGTCATGGTCGTGGTCGTGGTCGTGTTCAGCTTCTGCGTTGGCGTCCTCTCCTGCCCGCGGTTGGATTTCCTTTAGCCATTGTTGTTCTCGTGGGAGCCAGACGCGGTCGTAGTATGCGTTGTAGAAGCCTCGGAGATAGGGTAATGCGGCAAAGGTGAAGGCTGCACTTGGTGGCCATTGCAACTGCAGCATGTCGTCGCCTGGCCGGCCTGAGCTGACAAAGAAGATCAGAGGTAGGAAGGGTAGGAAGGAGTCGGCAAATGTAGTCCTGCTGGCGACGAGAACGGTCGGGATAAGTGGCAGGCCAAGGTCCAACCTCCAATGGTCTTTCAAATGCTGCAGCGTTCGTATCGCCACAGATCCAATCATGGGATTGGGTGTCTCGTACAGTGGTCCTAGAATCTGCAGCGCGTCCTCTGTTCCAAAGATTTGATATATCGTATGTGTTCCCGACAGCGCTAATGTGGAATATAGCGCCGTGCCCGTGACCAGCGCAAAGCCAGGTAGTAACAAGGACCCCGTGAATCGCTCCACTGACCTCACGGCCTCCACCACATAACTCCTCGGTCGCGCTATGACAATTTCGGTCTTACACTGCGGACACAGCACTTTGGACGCGCGTGTGCCAGCCCTCCTTCTTGAACTTGGCGCCTCCATATCTGCGATCCAATCCAGCAAGCACTTCTCATGCGCCACCAATGAACACGAGCACGGCGACCGCCACTCTGACGATGTATCGTCATCCTCCGTCTCATCGTTGAAACATATCCAGCACTTTTTGATATCCTCCTCTTCTACTGGCGGCCTTACAGCGCTTTGTGCTAGCGCCTCTTTCTGCGCCTCTCTCTGTGCCTCTACTGCGGGTGTGGCTTGTTCCGACGGCGGTGAGTTCAGCAAAAGCGTCTGGGAATCCACCGACTGCGCTGAGAAACTGTTTGTTCTCGCAACATTTTCTTGCCGTGACGATGAAGATTCGGCGGGTGGTGAGGCTCTACGTTGTGAGGCGGGGCGTTGTGGTGGGAGAGATGCCATGGCTGCCTTGGGGATGGATGATGTGACTGTGGTTTGAGGTTGGTAATGGCGAAGGAGGAAAGGAAATCTGGGCAAGGAAGACAGCAGTGACCAAGGGCGACCGAGCCTTGTAATCGGAGGCTCAGCGCACGTGAGGAAAGGTGTTGGAGGCAGAGGAAGAGGAGGTGGTTTGGTGTTGTAGCTCGGCTCGGTGGTTAGTTGATGCATTGCCGAAGCACGCGGAAGAGGACGTCACCTCCGCACTCCTTCATCGCCAAGACTTTACTACATGACCGCCAGCCAACACAACATGTCGCGTATTTTATTTGTGGGTTACAAGGAACTTTCATGATCGCATTGTTAGAGCGTAGGCAAGTACTCTGTGCAATTGGGGAAAGCGATCAGACCACCCTCTATACAATTCACACCTGCCAGAGAGACCACAGCCGAGAGACCGAGTCTCCATAAGCCATGAATCATTGAAAGAAGAATTGCTCATGGAATTCCAAAATAACACCAGCAATTCCCATCTCCCATAATACACACGTCGAAAAGAAGACATTCAAATCAAGCAACCATCCATAATATCCAACCATACTCTGCTTCCGTGCTTCTCAGATCTATACGCCAGGAATATCTGCTTCAGGTCAGTCATATACGGAAAAGAATCCCTGTCTCCGGTCGTGCTTCTCTAAGTCGTTCTCATCCCCATCATTCATTCAAACCAAACTTCCAACAATCTCATTCTCAAAAGTATGCCCAACCCTCTTTAAAAAATAACCAATGCCCAAGATATCAAAAAGAAAGATATTAAATCAGCAAAACTCACTTGATCTGAACCCTCGCCCCTCAGCCTTGCCTTTGCCCTTCCCCTCAACCATGCCCCTGAACTGCGGAGCACGTGGGTTGAGAGCCGAGCCCGTCATATTCGAAGTCATATTCGTAGCATCAAACACCCCGCTATTTCCGTACCGCGCAGGCGCATCAACAGGCACGTTCATGTTGGGGTACGGCGTACCAATGGGAGTCGGATGGAACACCACGTTGCCATAAACAACCGTCGGCGTGTCACTGTGTACGTTGTTCGGTTTTCGGACACTGAATGCTTGCTCAACTGGTATATGTGTGCTTGTATTCCATGGCGTAGGGATGAACTTGGAATGCGGACGCTCAGTAGGTACAGCATGTACAGGCTGTACGGCTCCAGTGTAGGTCCGAGCTTGGTATTGTTCGAGTTGCCTAGCGGGTGTGTTGTATACAGGCGTTTGTCGGGTATGAAGGCCTGAAATTTCCATCATTGGTACCACGGGGGTGGCCGATTGCCGTTGAAGTGCAGAGAACTGCTCGGCAGTCAATCCAAAAGGATATAAAGGGTAATTGATCAGGCCTGGAGGTAGGACGGGGTAGCTGGGCAGGCCGGCCGGTAACAGGGGTGAGAATCGAGGCATGAGCGGAGGCTGAAGAGCTGGTGAAGGGTTGCGCTCTGATGATTGCGCCGTAAGGATTAGGGTGGAAAGCGCTCGGGGAGGGCAGCAAGCTGCTCCTGCACGAGGGTGCGGTGCTTTTCTTTGTTTGGTGAGATGCCAAAGGCACCTTGGATAGAGCCAGTTGGTGGTTTAGTGACAACTGTTGGGCCAAAGTCAGATCAGGTATATTTGTAAAGGCAATATTGTACTCACCACTCTTACCAACACCCTCAGCGCCACTGCTACTGCCATTACTATCCCCACTGCGGCTACCAGTACTTACAGACTGAGCCTCCTCTCTCACCGTCAGCTTGGCAAACAGGTGTGTTGCCTTTTCCGCCGCACTCAATGGCCAATAATTTGTCGTGCTATCCGTGTCACTCAAGCTCTGCGGATTACTTCTTGGATGACTCCTCGTATCATCACCGCTACCACCGCCACCGCGACTCCAACCATTACCCCAAGCAGTGCCCGCCGCCATCACCCCGCGATCCACAACACTCGGCCACGCCCACCCTTCTCTCCTCTTGAATCCCAGCTTCATATCAGGAACTGGCACATACCATTGCGCCGGCGGCATCGGCTCCGTCTGAGTGACATCCAAACGAATGCACATGTCGCACCGGAACCCCGTCTCCTCGACTTGGACAATGTGCTGCGTTTCGATGGAGCAGCCAGGGTACCCGCAGTGATAGGAGCCGATGTAGTCTACGTGTACACAGCCAGGGTAGGCGGCGTAGAAAATGATGCACATCTTGGTGAGGGCAATGGGTGTGCGCGTATGTGGGCTTTAAGCAGAGACTAGATGGCTGGTTTGTTTGAGTAGTGGTAGGGCGGGGTGAGTGAATGGGGACGAGCTGCAGGACTTACTTTATCTCTTTCTTGCTGTGTTGTGCTGATGGCTTGGGTCTGCCGTCCCTTCAGAACCGAGAAACAAGAAACGAGAAACGGAAAACGGGAAACGGGAAACGGGCTCTGAGAAATGAGGGAATGGTATGGGTGGTAGCGGAGGAGAAAAGCAAGTCGTTGATCGCGTGACCGCGATGTGCACCAGTTACAATAGTCTAAGCTTGAACTTTTGACGCGCTAGATTTTTCACCGTGAATGCGATTCCCATGTTTAGCTTTCTCGTGGTTTTGGGGTGGCGCAGTGAGTCTGGAGTTACTGCTAGAGAAGGTGTGCAAACGCCCGGCATGGATATCACAGGTTCCATGAGCGTTATGGATGCCAGCCATGTTACTTTTCCGTACACATCTAGGATGTATAGTGTAGTTTCTCCCTTGGGCCAGCTCGATTATGGTTCGATGATGTTGTGTTCGCACCTGGTAGAGCCTAGAGCAAACGCTGAATGGGGAAGTGCAAACAGCGCATTGACAGCGGTGTGCAGAGGAGAAGTCGGATTCGAAGACTACGACGACAAATGGAGATCAGCATAGTTTTTGTGTTTTCGAGAATGATGTACTGAGAAAGGGGGGTGAGAAATGAGAGGGTTATGCAAAGGACAGCATGAGAGAGCAAATTGAAGTTTTGAAGAACGGGAAACGAGAAACGAGAAACGAGAAACGAGAAACGAGAAACGAGAAACGAGAAACCCAAAATCCAAAACCCAAAACCTCAAACTACCTAATCCCGCGGACCCAAAATCCCCACACCAACCCAACACCCGCTCCTCCCACCCGCTCCATCCAACTCTGCTCTCACCAACCACTGAAATCGGCCCATCCCATTCGCCACCAACCGTCATCCAAATTTAGCCTACGTCTCCACAAATCTGCACCAACGTAACAAAGGCCAGGGATCGCAATCCCTACGTGCGGTTCGAGGTCTGAGTGGGGAGTGGGTATGTAGGGGTGCGGTGTGGTGGCGATATGAGGTTAGTGTTGTTAGGTGGGAGGATTGGGGGAGGGGAGGGATCTAGGAGAGGAGATTTCGAATTTGGGATTTAAATGTGGGACTTGGAATATGAGATTCAAATCAGTCCCAGTCCTATAATTAGATATGTATTCGATTATATCCATGCTAGGATTGTTGCGCAACAACGTCTCTGCGTGGTGGACAAGTGGTGATTTCCCCTGGCACGTTTAGCATATTTTCTTTGAGAGAGAGAAAGGAAAGAAAAGAGATAAAAAAGGGCCATGCTTACTGAATCGAAAACACTACTTTCCTACCTCTCAACCTACACCTACCCACCCACCTCACACCGTCCTACCACCCCTCAATTTGAAACTCAAACCTCCGATCCCCCAAGCCCTTTTCAATCGGCCTCGCATCCCCATCATACAGCGTGCGCTCTAGATAAAACATCTTCCCATTCCTATCCACCAACACCACAATACTCTTCTGCGTGCCATAGCAGCCACTCGTCGCATCCACGGCCTTGTGCTTGACCACATCGCCCACCTCATGCGCCGGCATCTTATGCTCGTCCAGGTGGTCCTTGCCAATCGCCGGAATGAAGATGCTGTGCCGTAGCTGGTTGAGATACATGTCCCAGTCCTCGTTTTCCTTTTGCCGGGGCATCGTGTCCCGACTGAGGACGGCGAGGAGGCGGTCTACGAGCTGGTCGCGCGTCTCGTTGGCGGCGATCGAGGCGGCGATTGCCTCGTTGGTCCAGGATTCGCCATTGAGGACTTTGGGCCAGGAGCGATCGGTAAAGGCGGCGTTGCTGAGGGCGTGGGTTTCGCCCGGGCGGGAGAGCAGACGTGGGACGGCGGAGACTTCGGGGGTACGGTTGCTGACAATGGCAAGGCCCTTGGGGGTGTCGCTGGGGTTAGGGTTGCGTTGGACGACATCTTGGATGAAGCCGTAACAGAGGGAGAAGCCGCCTACGCCTTGGACGCCATCGCCTTCGATCATGCGCTTGGCGAAGGCTTCGGTGGATTCTTGGGCCGTGGGATCAGATTTCAACCATTCGTTTGGTATGAGACCGCGACTTCGGGCGCCGATTACGATGCTCGAGTCTTGCTCGCGGTAATTGGTTAGTACGGCGACGCGACCTTGACGTGTGACGCCTAGCCATGTGCCGTGAACAGGACGGTGCAAGTCGTAGCCGCCAAGGACTTGGGAGTCTGGTTCAGGCCACCATGTTGCTTCTGCTGTTGGGCGATGGAGGTATTCCTACCTTTGTGGTTAGTTTTGGTATCGTGATTCTAGTGGGCGGGGAGGGTACATCTCGGTTGTTCAGCAGTATGAAGGGGTAGTCTGGATGTGCGGTGGTGAGGATCGCAATGCACATGTTGAAATTGTGATTTCTCCAATACAGAAATGGTTAAGAAGGTGGATGATACGGTGGTTCCAAATGCGAGGGTGGTGAGTAAGAGGAGATGATTGATGTTTTTGCGTGCGCAAGTAGGCAACTACAGGCGGTGTGAATGCCAGCGGGACTGGATTAGACCGTCAACGTGGTTCCAACCGTCGAGTATGTGGAGTGATGTGGAATGATACATGTTGGGACGAGGAAACTTGGAGAGCTCGTGACGCTCTGAGAAGATGATGCGGAACCTCGGGTCAAGGAATCTGAAGCTGTCGCCTTGTCGTTACCTATCGGTACCGGTACGGCACCTAGGTCATGGCTGGGAATCTCAACGTCTTGTGCTTTTTGAGTGCTTTGAGGCCAATGTAGTGACCAAAACGCGAGCAGACATAGCACAAATCCAAGGGTTGTGTGAACAGAGATGGCATATAAGATAGATGAGCAGGTAACTACTCTAGAGTAGACAGGGACAACAGACGTACGTCTCCTTCACGTGCCTCCCCCCCACCATCGCCCGAGTCCCATCCCTGCCCCCCTTTCGTCACCGCCTGTTTTTCCCCAAACACCCTCCTCCCAGCGTCCAGCACCCGAAACCCCCCCCCCCCCCCGCAACACCACGAACTACCAAACAAAAACAAAAAAAATACCTGCAAATACAATAAAAAAACACCAAAAAAAAAGACATGTCCGCAAACTTCGCCCCCTACCAAGACATACCCGAATCCTCGCGCGCCCTCTCCCCCATCACATCTCCCCGAACCTCCATAGACCGCACCCGTCGCACCCTCTCCTCCCCGCCCCGCCCAAAAACCACATCTCCAGCGCGCGCATACGAACAACAAGATTACTTCCAGGGCCAAATACACGACGAGGACGACAACGAGGACGACAACGACCACTACAACGACCGCTATGGCGGAACAAACACCTACCACGACGACGACCACTCCACCGGCATACCGTACCCACCCCACCCCAGCAGCCGCCGTTTCGGCCGCCCCCGCTCAGACATGGACGTCTTCACCACATCGCTGGGCTGGCGCCTCGACTACGAAGCCTGTCTGGCCTACCTGCTGCTCCCGCCGGCGGGCGGGGTGTTGCTGTTGATGCTGGAGCACAAGAGCGATTACGTGCGGTTCCATGCGTGGCAGAGTAGCCTGCTCTTTGCCTTTGCCTTTCTCGTGCATATCATCTTCAGTTGGAGTCGGTGGGTGAGCTGGATGTTGTTTGTGGGGGATGTTTGTGGGATCTTGTGGTTGGTCAGGAGGGCGTGGGTTGATGGTCAGTCTTTCTCTGGAGAGGTTTTTTCTTTCTTTTTGGGCCGTGCTGGGAAAATGAGGTTGCTAACATGGTTGCATTCTAGCTGCGACGTTGGATCGGTATGAAGTTCCCTTTTTTGGGCCGCTGGCGAGCTCGATATTGGATGATGAATAGGAATGGCATGGGATGGATTAGATCGCATCATTCACGTGGACATGCTAGCATGCTGTGCCAGGCGCTGTCCAGTACTGGCAACATTCGGCTTCCTTCAAAATCATACACGCAGGCGACACCCTACCTGCTGCACTCCGTATATATCTTGTAATACCCATTTCGACCTCACACAATCACCCAAACCGCTCCTTCGCAATCTGCCTCTTATTCCTGCGTAACAGCGCCGGTGGCTGGA